CCTCTCTCTCTCTCTCTCTCTCTCTCACTCTCACTCTCACTCTCACTCTCACCTAATTTTACCATCGATCAATTCATTGATGCCTTATTGTCACGAGTCAGGATGCTTGCTCTGGCTTCTCTTTATATAATAGTAAATAGTATAATATTTTTTAACATTAAAATCGATATCGTAAATTTGCAATGATTATTTAAGGTTTAATTAAAATGTCATAACTCAATTTGACATTTGTAAAAATTACTTTTATTTTTATCAATAATAATATTTATGCACGTTGCTTAATTTAATAATATACAAAATGTATAAAACACATTAAATATTGGCTATCGCTGTAATAATAGCTATTTAAAAATGATACAGAAATACAGATTTATATTATCATACTTAGAATATACAATCGAGAATATTTAAATACGTTATAACGGTGATTGATAAAATCTAGTGGTGAAGTATTTACGTCATGAAATACCGCGCCTGCAAGCATCCTGAAGAACGTTGATGAGTGTTTGTGATTCTCGAAACATGTCTCATAAAAAATATAGCTAAACGACGAAGAATTATGTAATTATCACTTGAAGTGAGTAACGTTGGCGATTCGTCTTTCTACTGTTATGAAAAAAACGTTCATCTAAATCCATGAGAAAACTTATTGTCTTGTGTTGCCGAGGAGATTGCAATGATAAGAGATATTTTATGCTTTGCGGCTATAAAAGCTAAATCTTGTCATACAGCTATGTTTTATCAATTAAATTTTTAAGGCGGACGAATCGCCACGCTGCCTCTTAAATACGTTACTGCGATAACTAAAACTATGTAGGAAGTTAGGATAATTCTTTAATTAGGCGAGATCTCTTTTCAAAAACACCCTGTAGAAAACACGCTTGGTCCTAGAAAAATTCTGCTACGGATATGTGCAACGGTGCCATTTGCCGGGTCGCGAGCTATCTTCTCCGCTCATAGAAACGAAGTTCTAAGGATGCAAAGTATAAGCTACAATGATAGTATCACTATTGCTATGTTGAAAAGAAAAACTTTTCATTGGAATGCCGTGAGACCGAGAATGAAAGGAACAGATGAAATCGTGAAAACCGAAATTCCGTTCTCATTACATTTGTTCCCCTGGGCGGTTTAAGCGTTACACGTATACCAAAATCGAGACTCTACTTAAATATCACGTCTTGAGAGGCACAAACGCGCCCAAAGATCGAACAATCGGTCCATTTCAACAGAAATGCATGCAATCGATGGCGGGCAACACTTTTCTCTTGCTCTTTCTTAAATTCCTTGCTAATCTCGGAGTATTATAGGAACTAAAATCGTATTTCTCTTGTTAATCGTTATCAGTTAGAATGGTGAACGTCCATAAGCTTGTGCACTTTATGAATAAAAAAATGTCAGTAGAATATATGTCGATATTATTGACAATGAAAGAATATAAATCATTAATGAGATTTAAAACAGTAAACTGTGTTTTTTCATTTATCTTTGCTTTGAGAAATACGCGTGCACTTATGGACTCACCTGATAAATATTATTTTTTCAACTGTGAAGCTTTTCATTTTCTACTTTGCCTGCAAACGTCATCAATACACACCACTATTTCTTTCTAATACGCATTCCACGCGAATGTCTCCCAAGAACCGTTCTTATCCGCGTGATTTTGTCCTGCCAAAATTGTCTTTGCTTAATTTCTATTCTCTTGCTTCCTCTGTTAGACATCGATCGATTGTACTTGATTGTACTTGATTGATTCGCGTGTTTTGCGTTTAATAATCATCTACACATACACACATACACGCTCACACGCATTTTATCACCAGTGGCAGTCAAATGTAAAACTATTATGCGACGTTGACAATCGAGTGCCAGCGCGTAACAAATGCACTTTTAACCTTTTGTTTCTTCATTTTACAGAAATGAAAATTATTATAATTAAACTTAAAAATATATACGGAAAAGGGGAGAACGATGGTGAAAGTGCGTTTTTTTGAATGAAGGGTTAAATCTCCGCACGCACGTGTTGATTTTTATTAGGGATGCAAATCGTATTAACAATATATGAAAGTATTTCATACTTTTTTGTAATATAACGCGGAGATAATTTTGCACCAAACTGATTCTTTTCCTAAAATACTCGTGATGCTTTTTTATAAAATATTCACAGAACTAACTTTTTCGTAAAATTTCTATAAAACATTTTTAATAAGATAAAATAGATAAAAATAGATAAAACAGATAAAAATATATGAGAAATAAAATAGATGTTAGCATCAATGTATATGTACTTATATAAAATCACAGTTTTTTCCATTATATTTTTTTTAGTAATTTTCTAAAACTCTTTTCTTTAATGTTAAAGTGGTTTCATAACGCACTTTAGTTATTTGATAACTATATTTTCCGTGGATATTAAAATATCGATTATATCGAAAAATAATATAATAAACGGAGATAGCTCGTTATTAGAAAAATCTAAAAGAAATCTTACAAACGGTGCAAAAACCCAAGTGTTAATATGATTGCGAGTTCTTGTTTTATTTAATTATTGATTATCATTAATTGTAACATATTAATTTCTCAAGGCAATCGGATAGCCCGATATTTTCAGATAATTAATGCGCTTTTTTATCAACACTTGATAAAGTATTAAGTTAAAATAATTTATCACTAATTGTGAGAACAATTATACAAATGAATGGTAATAACACATTTTGAATTTTTAATAAATTGGTCTGATAATACCAAAGAGTATAAATGTTAATTTTATTGAAGAAATGATATTTCTTTTTTAATCGCAATTGTTAATTAAAGAACACGCAATCGCGCTAACACCTGCATTTTTCAGTTCATAACGGATTTGCCTTTCTTCTGAAGATAAAAGACCCCTTTTAGATTTCACGAATATATCGATATCGTTTTCTAGGTATTTGCATCCCTAGCTTGAAAATAAAACAGGCCGATGTGTAAAAGAAACGATAAATATGGAATGTTCGCCGGTGAGTAGTGAACGCGATGTCGATTCTCGTCGAGTTCAATTACAAATGTCCGCGTGCCAAAACTATGAAGTTGAGATAACGAGGAATAGGCAACGAGGATCGCACATACAGCAGACACTATCAAAGGAACACTACGACTACAACTAGCGGCGCTTAATTAATTACAGCGACATCGTTATCTCAACTTTTTGGTACACTGACCAGACATTTTCATTCGACTCTTCTAGGTTTAACTTTGTTCATCGCACGGAAAAAGATATAATCGCGATGAGACCTGCAGTCGCAATTATTTTTTTCTTCATCTAGAACGATATGTGTATCACATATAGATTTTCGAAAAGTACACGCAAATTTCAAATTGGATTTTTCAATTTTGAACCCGAATTTGGCTCAAAATGCACATCTAGACATTCGATTCGCATGTGTAATTTGTCAATTATTTTTCATTTAACAGTTAATCTATTGTAATTTGAGGAAAGAGCTTATAATTTATATGCATAATACATTCCTCATACAAAATTAATTAACATTAGATTTTTAGATTGTATAAATTATAATTTACAATTTTTTAAATAAAACTGCGATCAAATCATTTCTATATCGTGGCTGCGATATACACATTCGTTAAATTTTATCTTGTTTTGTCATATGTCATATGTGCAAACATATGATGTAACTAATATAATTAAAATTTCTCATGACGTTTTAGTGATAACACTATCAGTATCCGCTAGAAAAAACCGCGAATGAGTTAATCGTTTAAAAAATTGAGTAAGTATTTTACTTTGATAATATGGAAATATTCAACTAATTATTCTATCTTTTACAGTTCTGTACTCGAGTAAATTATTGAGATACTCAAGTATTTTCTTAGAGAAATGGCATTCATGTAACATTATCGAAGTTGTCTGATTTATATTGATAGCGTTAACACAAATATAAATAATGACATTAAGATAAATATATTTAATTTACCAAAATGCAAAAAACTTGCAATTGTTTTTCAAGAGAAATTAATTAATTCAGAAACGTGCGGTCGTGTCATCGCGTATATGCCTTCGCCGCGAAATCGAACGAGAGACATCAGCCTTATTTCGAGATTTATTCGGTAATCCGGTGGGCAAGTCCTGATGAGAGTCCGTCAAGGACTGAGATACAGATCTGGAAGACGAGCCGCTTCGCGCTTTAATCTTTTACACTGTTCTATCTTTCCGGCGTCCCGACACAATATGGCTGTCTCTTGTCGTAGGACGCCTCATTCACAATCTCTAAACAGTCAACAGAAAAATCTAGTTGATTTATCAAACTGATATCTCAACCGATCTCGCCCCCAATTCCATTATCCTTTCGATAGAAGAAGGAGACGATCGTCATCGATTCAAAGATCGATTGGGGTTTCTCTGACTTCCGGTTTCCGAAAAGACTCGCCTTCCTTGTCTCGATCTCGAGCCGGTCCATCTTGACTGATTACACCTGAGCAGGTTTGGCCTTGCCGACCACCAGCATTATCTTTTGCAGCAGCTTCGTTACGCTTACTGCAACAGGAACGAGCGACATGTTAGAAACACGATTGCGATGATTTGAAGTTTCGGATGCAGGTGCAAATTTAGCAAGGAATCGACAGTAGTCGACAACGCGATCGATCGCGTTTGCTGTTAGTTGCTGATATTTAAATTGTTAGGGCTTTGAGAGAGATTAGATTAGAGTGTGTTAGTGTGTGCGTGATGTCTGACGTGCGAAATTAAATCTCAACAATGTCTTGGTCAACTTAGGCGAAAGTCGCGGCGATTACTTAATTAGCTGTCTATTCGTAATCGATGAAACGATATTTCTGACATGTTAAATAAAATGTGGATATCTTCTTTTAATTTAGAAATTATTTAAGAGAGTAGAATAATATATTTTTCTAGCATAAAACAAAAAATTAAAAAAAAAATTCGATAATATTAAAAAAATTTATTTGTTGGCTTTTTTGAAGCCACTTAATTTTTTGCAAATTTCTAAGAAAAATATAATAAAAAAATTTTTAGTTAATTATATTATACAGTAAAAAAGTATAAGAGTACGAGTATGCAACGATGTATTAAAAAATTGGGTGAGATTTCAAATCGAAGAAATGATAAGCGAGATGAGAAAACAGACAAGTAAAAGTTTTTGTAAAAGCTTAGGAATTGCGATGGAATACTTTTTGAAAAGGAGTAACGACCAATCGAGATAGATATTGTACAATAAAATGTTAGTACACACGATATAGTGAGAGAAAATTTTGATGAAACATTTAAAAGCATGCATGGTGAATCGAAAGTGATCTCCAAAGAGGTTTTACTGGATAAAATGAAGAGGCAAAGAAAACAAATGAATGCTAAGCATGCGTGACATGACAAGAGTAAAATTATGTTACAGTGTGTTTTAAACCTTTGTCTTTTGTGGCCCCACGACTACCATCAGCTTCTGCAAAGTTTGGGTGACCCAGCCTGTGGGAATAAATTTGTTAAACAGAAACACACGGAACAAAAACCAAAAATTACCGCGAATTAGTTTCAAGCGTCCAAAAAAAATCCTTAAATTTTAAATTCTATTAAAAAGTTTAGTACTTGGCGATATTTTTCTTCTAACTTTTTTAAGTGATATTATAAATACTTCAACTCTCATATTTAACCTTTAGTTTCGACTCTCAGAGTTTTGTGTCGAATGTTGTTTTTATCGCAACATTCGAATATATTTTTCTTGTTCTCAATTGATGATATATGATGCATATTATATTTGTTCAACTTACCAACCCCTTGCTGGAACCATTTAGGTTTGTTCTTCCACGAGATAAACGCGAGATAAACAGGTACAGAAGAAAGTATCATCAGACAGCCGTATCCTATTAAAAAGAAAAACAATTATTTTTACGATATAATTGTTTATACAGTTGACGTAAATATTATCGATGACAAATTCTTACCGGTTTCAACGGGGCTAGCATACATCGGTACAATAGTTACAAAAAGGGTCGCCAGAATATAGAAGGCCGGAAAGATGAGGTTTACTTTGATCGGCCTCGACAAGTTCGGCTGGCTCCATCTGAGCCATGGAAGGCACAGAACGGAGACGCCTATGCTCAGCTAGAAATCAAGTTCAGTTTTAAATTAAACCTCGGAATTTAAATAATTATAACAGTTTATTTGAAAAATGATGTGGAAATCGAGTTTAAATTCGTAGAAAAAATCTGTCCTAAAATATTTGTCAATAAGCGTAGGTCACCTTTTATAGCGCGGCGCGGCGGTGTTACAAAGCAGCTATTTCTTAATAGAGTGGCTTTTATACACACTGTGACATCGCTGCGACGGTCTAAGTCAATTACGCCGAGTTGTATGAGCCAATTAGAAAATTATTACTCGTCCGGTCAAGTTAATGATTCGCCGCGGGCAGGTACATAAGCTTGCAGAGATCATGCGATCGTGACGCTCGCGTTGCACAACCTTCGTCATGAAATACTCACTCGTGTTTAGCATAATTAACGGGGAGAATCGACACACTGTTTCGCATTAATTATGGAAAAAAAAAAACTGAGCAAATCATGGCCACGGTACAACAAGATAGCCATCTCTTCGCGCGTGGCATTATTTTCCGGGATACGCGCACGCTTTAATCCAAGACAAAACGAAATATACGGCGAACGAAAATTATACGTACCCAAGTGGCGAAGCCGACGTAATTGATGAGAGCGGAGATGTCCGAAGAACATAGGTACAACATGGACAACAGGGCCTGAAAAAAAAAACGTGAAACGAGTTTTCGTTTAATGCTTGCGTTTGCGATGGTCGGTATCTTTAATTCTGACAGAGTAAATTTGATCACCGCAACAAGTTCGACAAAAAAAGCAATCTACCAGCTTCGTATTGTGTCTTGTTTGTCGATCAGCAATCATATTGGTCAACAAACAAGAAGACTCGGCTTAGACACGCGAAATTTCGCGCAGCACGTAATCCTATTTTATGACGTAAAAGTATGAAGAGAAAATTCATGCGAAAATTATTGAAAGAAAATTCGATCTCGCATCAGTTGGGATTAACAATATAATTTTAATATAGTGTTATTTGTGATATTTTTCGTTAAATTTTTTTAGAATAAAGTTGATCAAATTATTTACTAATAAAATTCACTTAGATTAGTTACAATTTTTCTTCTAAAGAAAGAATTACTATATTTATCGGTGATGTATTTTACGACGTATTAATACGTTATTGATCGATAGCGTGTAGTCTGCAGGCGACTTATATCTCAGCGAATTGGACTGAAATAAGTTTATAAAAAATTATTTGAGAAAGAGAAATGATTTACCATGCATATTACGGCGGGCGTAGGTGTCAGCCTGGAAATTTGGATCATCGTCAATATTTCCGGCATCTGACCTTCGCAGGCACCTGCGTAGAAAAGCCGTGAAGACGTGAGTAGAATGCCATTGACCGCACCGAATGTAGAGAGAGCCACGAAAACCGGTATTGTCCATGCCATCACACCGAATAATCTGTTTGCGTATGTCTGTTGATAATAGAGCCAATTTGAGAATTTTGAACGATGACAAAGTTATTTTAGAAATATTGGCCATAGCGATGTACCATTGATATAATACCATTGATAGGATAAATAATATAAATATATTTTTTAAATATATTATTTTATTACGAAAATAATATAGATACCCGTACAGCACAAAACATCCTCAGGATATCCTCAGGACATCGAGGATATTTCGGTGTCTCAAGGATGTTCTGAGGACATCGAGATCTCCCCAAGATGTCCTAAGGATATGTAGGATATTTTGTGCTGTATGGGTATATTATTTCCATAATAATTGTATAACTTTGGCTGAGACTTGGAGTAAAAAATCACAAAAAGCTATATCTCATATTTCTCAAATATAAAGATTTTCGTTATTTTCGTTTTAGTTATGAAAATTATCTCCATAATAATTAAAACAAAATAATGAAAATCGTTATTTGTAAGAAATGAATTTAATTTTTGTAATTTTTTACTCTAGCTTCTTATTAAAAAGATATATTTGCTGTTATTTACCACTGCCACAGCTTCACTGCCGAGCACTTCGACGGGACTCAATGTCGTGTAGAAGGCCATGTTCGTGAAAACATAGACAACAGTGACTAGAGTGCACGAAATACCAATAGCTCTCGGCAGGTTCCTAAAGAAATACGGTTGGACATGTACTAATAAATTCTACAATTAATGTCACTAAATTATGGTTTATTTCGTTACGTATGCTTTTGCTTAATTTGCTACGCTCTTAAACCCAATGTGCTTTTTGATTTTTGTTTCCTGCCTTTTTGCTTTTATATAAAAGCATATTTTTCTTCGGAAATTCAGAAAGGAGTAATTGTAAATCGCGATGTTTCTTGACTTCATGCGACAAACACATGAGAAGCAAAAATACGAAAGGCAAAGAGCAAGAAACAATACACAAGAAGCACATTGTAAATCAGACCTTAATTCTCACCTAACGGGATCCTTCAATTCTTCAATTATGAAGTTCAGATAATTCCAGCCGTTGTAAGCGAACAGGCCTGAATAAAAGCTAAGAGCTATAGACGTGACTTCCGTGTTGCTGTTCTCGAACGTGAAATTCTGCGTATGTCCTGAAAAAGTACGAGCAGACATCGATATAAATTGTTGTTTCAAATACAACATAAATAAATGATTTAATTATTTTGTAATATTTTTAATATTAATATTTTAGCATGAATAGTTTCTTAATATTCTTACTTTTTAATATTTGATGTAAATTTAATATTTTTTTTTGCATAAAATATAAACGTAATTGCAATATTGCCGATTGCAAAATATTTACGTTTTAATAATTTAATAATTTTTATTTTTTATTTTTTAATTAAAGAAAAACAAAGAGAGAGAAAGAGAGTCTTCTTTAATCAAGTTTTTGATAGGCGCTTTTAGAGGAATTGCTGACTAAAGACGAGTGTACAATTTCGTAGCATGCAAGATCGAAGAAAAGTTTCATCAGAACCACGATGTTACCGCACGCGGTCAAGGAACTATTTGGTTCGCTGAATAGTCCAATTTAAGCGATTCCTTGCACGCACACCGACTACGTCGCATTGCCTCTGCATTTAACCCACCTTTTTGATTGGGTAAATTGTTTCGTCCGGCAAGTGTATAATGTTGAAAAGACATCTAACAGGAGTCAAACAGTTCTGATTCCATTTTTGTGCTCGCACAAATTAATGATAAAGTTTTACTTTCTATTGATTTTATTTTACCAAAAATTTTGTTTGAGGCTTATTCGCCGGCAATTAAACTTAAAAATTAAAAATATCGCCGTGAATAATGAAAAATACATTTTTTTTCGCAGAGAAAAGATTGAATTTTTCCAAATTTATCGCAAAACTTATTCCGGAAATACTTTTTATCGATATCTAGATTCTGTTAAATTCTTTTCTCACTTTATAATTTTACGTAATGAAATCTGACATTGTTTTGCTATAAAAGGACGATTTGTTTCTATCCTATTAATTTTTTATGCTCCTCGCGATGTTGCCTTCCAACATAACATGCCGTGACACAGCGAAAGATTGGTGTGTCGAAAAAAGTTGGAATGATCGACAGAATAGATAACTTATCTACAAGGAGAAAGCTCGTCTCATGCAAGATCGATTATTTTTAATTGATCGAAAGTACGCGGAAATTTCGAATATCTCAGCGTTCCGTGAAATCAAACGTTACGAGAAAACGAGAAAAATTTATGGCTCACGAAAACGTGCAACGCAATCACGGCACGAATTAGTGCCGCTCACAATTTATAGCAAATAGCTGCAACCGCACGCAATCGTGCTTTAACATCAGTGTCATTAACCTTCAATCCCGTAACATCTATTCGCTTTGTATAATTAGCTTATCGCATGTTCTACTTTAAAGATAGTAAACTACCGAAAATGTTGTCCAACATTGTCTTCATGAGAATATTTCACAGACAAACGCGATGCAAGAAATAGCACAATATTTTTAGACATTATAAATTTAAAAAATTTTTCCTTATTTGCTTGAATAAATCAGTGTGTGAAAGTTTATTCTGCTGATAATTTATCAATTAGGACTTAAACTTACCGGTGCAAAGCTGATACGCTCCAGTAAAGATTATAACGAAGAGCGCAAGAAGTTTCGCGTACGTGAAAATGTCCTGCACTCTCGTTGCCCATTTGACGTCCCAGCAATTTATAAAAGCGAGAACACCTGGCATACAAAAATGAATAGTAAAATTAATTATCGTAGAATCAGAAATATTTTTATAATTATGCAATAAATATAATTATGTTTCCGGGCAAGTGGCCTTATTTTTATATTTTACCGACAGTGAAGCAAAATATTACTTATAATATAAGTGTGATGTATTTACTTATTATGACTCATATGAATGCTACTAATCTAATTAAGAATCATGTGTGGTCGCACGTGTCATGGTCCAATGTCATGCACTTATATATCTCAATGTTTTGCCATAATTTTATGATAACAAAAATCCATTATGAATGACTACCGTATTGGTGAAACCGGTTACCGCTCGATTTCTTTACTTCAGATTACGCTGACACTATTTCGGCATTGTAAACATCACGGAAAAGAGGGTGGGAACGTGCTGATTATAAAAAAAATGGTATATGCTAATTTTAGACTGAGAGGGATAATTTATAAGCGAGAATACGTTATTCACAATTGGTCGACTAAGTCTCTTCCTCTTGAGAATTCCGCGAAAATGAAGATTGCTGCGACAGTTTTATTAGCGTAGGTCGATGATAGTGTGGTAATTTTCGTAATGTTCGTAGTGACTTTATGTCGGCTGCATCGAGGGAAAAGTTATACATATATAACTTTATAGCTGTGTACTTTGACAGGGTAATGGGAAGTAATAAGCCTTGTCAATGTTTCAATACTATTCTGATTTAAAGATGGCAATAAGAATTTTTTAAGTAATCTATACATTTCAGTCCGCAAATTGCAAAAGTCGATGATAATTAGATTAATAAAATTGCGCTGGAAAAATGCATAAATTAATTAATAAGCAATATATATTTTTCTATTTTATGTTTTTATTTAAATTGAAATGTCTGGATATTAAAAAAAAAATTTTTTTTAAATTCACATCATTAATAAATTTTCTTCTTTTAGTTACTAAAATTTTTTTCTAAATTTTTGTGTGTTAGTAGAGTTTGTATCTCAAATCCGACAGCCAGAAATATTTAATTTAAATAATTATAATCGTAAGCTATTTTATTTCTTCGTCGAAGTGGAATTCTTCGCGCAAAAAATTCCACATTCGACGACGTGAAACATTTCTGTTGCGTCCTTGACGGATTCGCGCGAAAGAAAAGGAAGAAGAAATGTCGAGAGACTGACGCAATATCGCACAGAAATATCGCGAGACTCCGTCCGTCCTTTCCCCTTCGCGCCTTCCTCAAGCTTCTTCCTCTTCTTCCACCCTTCGTGCAACCGCTTCGTCCTTCTTCGCCTCGTCGCGTCATTCCCCCCTACCGGCGAATTATGCTGTTGTGGGGACCAGTTGTCACGTTATTAAATTACATTTGTTCACAATGAGACGTGATTGCCATCAGGCTTTTGACTAGCGGGACTCCGCGAGTGTCTTGTATCGACATTTTCAGCGCGCCGTACGTCTAATCGTCACTTTCCACTGGCCGTCCACGTGTCACCGTGATCATTGTGTCGATTGATATACTATACAGTTAAACTCTTATACTAAACTATATATAACTAAAGATTTTAATTTTAAATCGTAACATTTTTTAAATTATATATGGAAAATAGAGATTGTTTATTTATAAAATTGTAAAGGAAAAACTACGGGAACATGATTGCAAAAGTCTGTCAAAAATTGCCAATGAAAAAGAGAAAAAACAATTAGTGAACCGTCGCCGATTATTGTTTGCAAATATATCCGATACGAGGATACAAAGGACACGCTCTTGCATGCTCTGGTCATTGATCTCTATCACTTGCCAGGATGCAATGGAAAGGGATTGCTACTGATTCGTTCGAGGAAGACAAAATTATCGAATGCATTTACATTACTTATGAGGTCAAATAATAGAATTTCACAATTCATGCGATTCCAGTTTTGTTACATTTTTTAATAATTATTTAATTAGCGAATCTTTTGTAATTTTATGCAAACTTAGCATTAATTGAATCGAATATTTATTTTATTAATTAATTGAATATTTTTCTGATTTTAAATAACTCTCATTCAACAAATATTTTATTACAAATTTTCTTTTAGAGAGAGAGTGGACTCTAAATTATCTCGAAAATGGAATTTCTCTCTATTACTAATTTATAATCTTTTCTGGCTGATAGATCTGGCTGATAGATCGGAAAATATTGAAACGCGGCGCTCATTTATTCACAAATGACATCCTCGTTGCCGATTGAACGCGTGTATTCGCGCTTCGCAGGAAAACTTATTCCCGGTTTGTGGAGCGATTTATCGGAAAATAAATGGAGCTTTATATACAGCGAAATCTTATTTCCCTCGAATATAGATGAATATAGATGAGCTTCCCGGTTCGTCATTGACGACTGCTCGTCGCTTTGCATCTCGTGATATTTTTCTCGCGCTATTTCGCACTGAATTCAAAATATATGTCTCGCGCGAGAGAATTATTGCAGGATGTTTATATTTGTTCAATTAATGAACGACTAGTTTCCAATTACTCGAAGCGGTTCGTCAAAGATCGCGCCGATCGAACACAGATCGAACGTAACAGGATTACGGTCTGTTACTCCGAAAATATTTAATGCTTGTTACGGCGTCTTTTAACATATTAATGATATCAGGTTTTCCACTTAAATGCGCAAAAATCAGTATTTCAGTTAACATGAAGATAAATATGTTTTAAACATTTGCTATAAATATATATGTATAAATCGTTTTGGATAAGCAAACTTTATTTGAGTCGTATATATGTCCGCGTTATCGCAACATGCTTAATTTTAATTGATATATGAATTATTTAATATCTGATTACTATAACCATTTGATTACTATAAACATTTCAAGGTTTCTTTTATCGATCTTATCGAGATGGAGTGTAATAGTACCTGGCGTAAATATTTACAAAGTAAAAAGTGCTTCGTCGATTGTCTCGCGAGAAAAAGTAACTGAAATACAGTTATGTCTGCGCATCTGTAAAGCGATCCGTTGCACGCAGGAGTGATACCGAAGCGAAAGAAGTGCGGAGTCAAACCGACCGCAAGGAACACGATCTGGCCATTTGCAATCGTATCCTCGCCCATAAAATGGATCTACCAAAAATGGACTTTTATCGTGCGGTTTGTGTATCGTATGTGATTATTGAAACTCTGGCGTATAACGAATATTGAAAAAGCAAGCAGAGTTGCATTGAGCAACTTCAGTAATATCCAGATAATTTCTGCAATAGCGATTATATAATGTATTAATAATATTAATTATTATTAGAATATAATTAATTATTTAGAAAAAATTATAAATTTCGCACTAACATCCCGCGACGGCTCTCTATGCTTTTCTATTATATTAATTGATTGTTATCATTTGAGCCTTTATATGTATTAATTATTATTTCTGCAATTGCGATTATTAATAATTATTAATCAAATAATTATCAAGATTAATTAATATATTTTATATCCAAATAATTTCTGCAATTGCGATTATTAATAATTATTAATAATTGCAATTGCAGAAATTATCTGGATATTACTGGAGTTGCTGCAACTCTGCTTGCTCTTTCAACAATACTCGTTATACGCCAGAGTTTCAATAATCACATACGATACACAAACCGCATGATGGAAGTCCATTTTTGGTAGATCCATTTTGCGGGCGAGGATACAATTGCGAATGGCCAGATCGTGTTCCTTGCGGTCGGTTTAACTCCGCACTTCTTTCGCTTAATAATTATTAATAATCGCAATTGCAGAAATTATCTGGATATAAACTATATTAATTATGAATCGTCAGTATTAAGTTTAATTTATTTTGTGTTATTTTCGTTACATTTTTTTCTTTTTTCACTTGATAATTATTTGAGTTAAATATTTTACGAGAACATTTTATGATATTCAACCAGTGCGCTATCAAACGCTCGCTTGCGACGAACGAAAACGGTGAACACGTTACATCGCGGAAAGCGATGTGCAAAATTGCGTGCGTCCTCGAATTTCCGCGAGAATACGCCCCATCCCGTGACGTAATTTACCGTCATTTTATTTATTTCTATCGGCGACCATGAACGAATTTTTTTGTTATTAACTGTTATTCAATCATACAGCAATGTTACGCGTGGCTTCGTTCGGGCGATTTTTTGCCATTGTAAGAGTAGAAGTAATTAAATTAATTTTCGAAAAGAGCATATTGCGTGATTGCATTGTGCAATACTATTAGATTAAAAATGCAAAAGAGGAGACACTGTGATAATTTCTATTTACAAAGTGGTTTTAATTAGAAAGTATTTAATTATTATTTTACATAAGAAAATAATAATTAAACTACTTTGAAAATTAAAGCAAACGAATGTGGAATTAATAAGAACTTAAGACATGCTTATATCACACTTAATCGACTAATGCATTTTATATATTAGGCGAATTATTTTGAATTAAGATATTTTAGGATTTTTTGAAAAGGATTTATAATAATTTTTTAGAAGAATTCTTCTTTTGCAATAAAGCAATATAAATCCTTCTCAAAAAAAAAAATTCTTCTTTTGCAATAAAGCAATATAAATCCTTTTCAAAAAATCCTAAAATATCTTAATTCAAATCTTTATTGCGAAAGAAGAATTCTTTTTTCGCAATAAAGCAATATAA